CCCTTGTTTCCTTGCTTAGCAAAAGGAGAGGTAGGAGATTATGCATTTGCAAATTCTAGTGTAATAAATGGCAGTGAGTCATGAATAAATCCACACAGTGGGACACAGTAGAATTCTGTATATAATCTCCATGAAAAATGCAGTTCTGAGGTTCTGATTAAGACAGATATTGTCCAATATATTTTTCTTTCTATTTTCAAACTGTGTGGCTATGCTCAAAAACTGCAGAATGGTCTAATCTGTCTTTCCAATGTGTAATCTAAGCCTTAGCTCCAGCAAGGACTGGCGTTTTCTCATTAAGATGAGTTTGCATACAGAGAAGTTCTGCTTGGACTTCTGGGTTGGTTTCTGTCAGAGACTGAAATGGTTAATGATTTATGCATTCTAGGATTACCAGGAGATTTTTTCAGGCTTTTGCAGGACTTTTGCATTATACCTGTGATGGGCAGCAGGGTCCATCTCCCCCTCCAGTGCTGCTGAAGGTGTCAAACCCTGAAAAGGTAAGAAGATCCGTGTTTACCACGCCCTCCACATGAACTCTGCGCTTGGCTGTCTGAGATATTGGAGGTTCACAGCATGGCCCATCAAAGCCCATCCCCCCTCTCTGCCAATCTTGAAAGGCAGGAAAAACACTTTTACCAGGTCCCACACAGAAAATCTGCACAGGGCCAGGAGACATTGGAGGCTCGGGTCATGGCCCGGGACGCTATCCACGGATATAATAACTCATAACTTCTTTGAGTGTGGGGGCTTCCCTCCTTCACCCCCAATGGATCAAGGTCACCACTTCAACTAACAGGCATGAAAGCTGCAACTACCAAGCTTTATCACTGAACCCCATGGGCAGCGACTATATACATCTTTCCACTCCCATCTTTTCTTTCCCTTACTCTCCCTTACACTTATCCTGGTTTTCCTTTCTCTTCCTTATGCATTGTCCCTTAAGGTTATCTTTATGCCATATTGCTATAGGTGATAGGTATAGATGATAACACCCAAAATGCTAACATACCTGTTTACGTTTGAAACAAAATTGTTCTAAAATAAACCCTACACATATATGTTTTCAAACATGGATTATTCAGTGTCGTTTCACTTTAATCCATGCCAAGGGGAGGTTAATAAGAACCTGGGTTACCCTCCCCTTTTCTGGGACGGATTGTAACAGCTTCTGCTTCTAACAGACAGGATGCTTTCTAAGGTATATACTCTGAATTAATAGGAGCAGCAATACAGTTATTTTTAGATATCATTAGTCAGTTCCCTGGTTAAACAGGAGCAGTTGCACGTGCAACAAAGAAGTCTGTGATGGAAGACAGATGGGAAGCACATTCAGCACACTCTGTGGAAGAAAATATGGGTTGTTATCTATCAAAAGCCACACAAAATGCAGCTCTGGATCTATGACAGTATATGAAATTTGTTAGTGGTAATGTATAGTCACGGAGTATGGAAAAGATCAAATGGAATGTTATTTATACATTATTTATACTAGTTTTGAAGACTAGCAGGCAGACTGCTGCTCTTTAGAGACTCATGCTGTTCATACAGGTTAAATCTTGGTGAAAAATGCACACAACTTCTGGCTTATACCCTTTCTGCCCTTGAAACCTTCTTGAGAAATGAAAAGATTACTCATCACTGACTTTATTTTGAGCTCAACAGAAAGAGGTTTATACACACTTGCTGTAGCCACAAGAGAATTTCTAGAATAATTTAGACTAGATCAAATCTGTAGTTGGTGATTAGTATGTTCATCTCTTCCATACTGTCAGTGATAATTAAACTAATCATTCCACAAAGAAGATTCCTAACCTTGCCCATCTCTTCCATCCTCATTAAATTGCTTGTTAATTTCTATCAATGTCTTACATAATATTTAGCCTACATATTTCCTCTATAGTTTTAAAACAGTTCTTCTTCAACCTTCATTTGCTAATGCAAATAATTGATCCTTGTCCTCTTTTGAGAATTCTTTCATGAATTTGTGACAGTTGTGTTTCTTCTCTGGTTATTTATTTAATTTGAGGTTCAAAAAGCATAATTACTAGGATATCCTGACATGGAATATTAAGTCAATCATTGTGGAAATCCTGATTAAAAGCTCAGACCTGCAAGATGCTGTATGACTTCCACAATGAGAAAGAGCTCTCAGCTCTCTTTCCAGAGTCTAAAAAGATTTGGAAATGTTCTGCATGAAAGAGATTTTTATTCTATTTAGCTATTTTTCATACATTGGTCCTGCATCAGGGATATTTTTCTTAGGTTAGGTCCAAATATATGTCTAGAAAATTTTGGGATATCTTGCAAAATCAGAGTAATGGATTCAGATAGATGAAAGACACCTGTAATGACTGATATCAGTAATAATGAAATAAAAATACAACTCTCTTGACTTTCATTATGTTACATAATTCTTTTGTTTATGAACTTTTTTAAGACATGTTTTCACAGAAAATGGTTGGGATAAGATTAATTCTGGAAAAATAATTGTCATTGCAAATTATGTAACAAGCATTTTCATTCTTAAACAATCTTGATTTTAAGAAATTAAAGAAAATAATTTTAAAGGCAAGCACAAATTATGTTTGGTAAATCTAAAATCTAATTCAAAATTAATATTGTATTCGATTTTTAAGAACAGTTCTGAAGAAGTTTGATCATTATATGTAAAAACTTTTAGAGTGTATCAGAAAACAAAACCATTATTCAGTATGGTACTCTTTTTAGAAACTAAACGTTGTCAGCTAGACAATTTCCTATTGCTATATTCAGAACAAGACATCACCTCTAAGATAAGGCACTCCAAAAAAGCGTGTTAAGGTTTTTTGAAAGGCAGAAAAACATATTATCCCTATGCCATATAAACAACTTCACAAAACAGTTTCCAAACCATTCAAAAACATGAATGTTTTTTAACATTGTGAGATTATTTGTAATTTGTGAGATTATTTGTGTTTTAATTCATGTTCTAGACCACTAAATCGTTCTATATCAAAATTTACAATGGTTACCAAGTAGTTGGAGTACAGCAACAACCCTGTCATATATTTTTGTGCATATACTCTCACTGTGGCAATTCATAACTGCTTATTAACACGAGCAATTCCATTCTGGTGTAAATGATCCCAGCCTACACCGTGTCACAGTGCATCAGAGAGACTGTAACAGCTGTGTACATCAATTAACAGCAGAGACGAAGTCAGCATGCTGACATGACCACAAACAATGACCCTACTCACATATTAAAAACACACTGTTTCTTGACATCCATTTCAAAAAGCAGAAAGTTATGTAATTATTTGGTTTATATAGGACTTCTGAAAGCCCTCTGGTCCAACCCCCACACAAAGTAACAATTTGGCAGTTGTCCCTCAAAAAGCTGTAAAAAAGATAGTTGATTAATTTGTGAAATTAATCCACCCATTGTATTTTATCCCAGCTACACGAAAGTCGGGAATGAATCTAAAAAATTCTATAACTCTACCTCTTGACAGTGCATTGGCAGAAAGGGAGCGGTGGAATCAAGCCAGTCTACCCAAAGGGACACACTCCCTTCAATGGGACTTTCTGCACCGTGAAACTCATCCAGAAGAATTGGCCCTTCAGCTGGCAAAATAGGGAAGATGAAAGACAGCTTTCTAAAAACTAATCTCAAAATACTATGTTCAATATGCTTCCCTCCATACAGGCAAATGAAAAATAAATTTTATAAAATACTTGAAATTTATAAAATTATTTTGAAAAGTTATGTTTAAATAACACCTCTTTAAAAAATGGCAATACTCTCCTTACTCTTTTATTATAATGCTCCTATACCTTCAAGCCTCTTAGCATAATCCTGACATACCTTTAGGACCCAAGAGCTAACACAATAATTCCAGTCAAGAACATAAGATGACAGGTTATGATGTAAAAGAGTTTCACAGAAGTTTCTAAAAAATTAACAAAAAATCAGAGTCTTTGGTGTGGATCTTTCCTCCTAATATCAGACAGACAAATGAGATTCATAACATGGTAACCCAGCTATTGAAGGTTTCTTCACAATCTTTAAACATAAAATGGAGACCTCCAGAGAATTGTTTAATTGACCTAGGGTCTGAATTGCTCTTTGTCTCTCCACAGACATGACATTTCTGCCACCTATTTAACTGAGACACCTAAGAATGGAGAATTAGGTCATATCACATAATAAGGACTCTATGTCTTTCCCTGAATTTTTGTCTTTTGACTCGAAATTCATAGAATTATATAATTGTTTGGGTTGGAAGGAACCAAGCAGTTACAACCCCCCATCATTGTCAGGGACACCTGCCACTAGACCAGGTTCCTCAGAGTTCCACCCAACCTGGCCTTGAACACCTTCAGGGATGGGGCATTCCCAGGTTCTCTGGACAACCTATTCCAGTGCCTCACCACCCTCGTAGTAAAGAATTTCTTCCTAATATCCAATTTAAACCTACTCTCTTACCATTAACCCTTGTCCTACCCCTATACACATTTGTGAAAAGTCCCCCTTCCAGCTCTCTTGTAGGCTCCCTTCAGGCATTGGAAGGGAGCTCCAAGCTGTTACTTTTAAAAGACAAGTAAAATCTTAATGCTGATAATGTAACAGGTATTAACACAAAGATTTCTCCAAAAGACATAAGAAAACTTTTATTAATTTAAAATGTCTTCTAGGAGAGTACATACTTCCTTCACAACTTCAGAAATGTTTCCTCATTTTCCAAACATTTCAGGTTCACTAGAATTTAATGTATCTTTCTGTTAGTGTACAAAGTTCAGTGGGGGACCCCTGGTGGTCTCGTGGTTAGGATGCAGCACTCTCACTGCTGCGGCCCAGGTTCGATTACCAGTCAGGGAAACTCCCCCGGGCAGATGGAGCTTGTCAGGCCTGTAAGGCCATCCTTTTAAGAGAAGGTCACTCTAAACAAACCTATGTCCTGAGGACCTCACTACCACTGTCCAAGCTTGCTCGGTCCCGGCAGATGAACCTTAGGATTAAAGGGTGGGCTCAACTCAGCGCACACTGTGTCTCACCTAAAAAATCCATTGCGCAGGCTTGAAGGGTAAAGACCTTTCCCAAATCTTCGCTCGTGAAGACTGGCCATACTGTACCAAGCTCAGTGTAGTACTTCTCCAACAGCCTCCAGGACCATGCCTGCACCATAATGGTAACCCTCTGAGAGTGATTGTCACCACTTCAGCTGCAGACCATCCCAGAATGCAAATGCAGAATCATATTTACCCATCGTATTTACCCGCTCCCCTATGCCCCTACCAAGCTTGCCTGTATAAACCTGTTTCAACTGCAACCAACAGTGCAAATTTCCTAATTATCTATGTAGCTAAATTATTGGAGAGATTAAAAAAAAAAAAGTCTTCCATAGCACCTTTCTTGTTCTGCCTGAATTATCCTGGATAAAACAGTCAGTATATCTGCAGAAGCTGAAAGGAAGAAATAACACAGTGGTAAGCCAGTGCAAAGAACGTACTGTTTAGAATCATTATATATGTAAGAAATAAATGAGCCTGTCATGCACCCCAAGGTTCTCCTACACATCTAGCTTTTTTTATTAGATATTGTATTCCAAATGCATTCCAGACACTGACTGAAAAACCCTGGTTTGATCTTTAGTGGGAGGAGTCAAGCCAGCTGAACTGATTTGCATCAGGTAAAAAATTGGTTCTTCCTTTTTAAGTAATCTAGGATGTATTCAAGGTATTGCAATGGTATTGTGGTATGTATGCTTTACCACTGAGTACTTTCATTAATAACTACTAGAAAAATTTCATAAGATATAAATTATTACTAACCCCAGGCTATAGTAATTCATGAATTCCAAAGCTTTTTAATTTAATATGTATATTTTATGTGTTTGAGGATGAAATGTGCCCTTTTTAGACTGAGTCTGTTTTGATTTACACTGTTAACACTGTGACTGAAAAATGTTATTTCACTCACAGAGGGAGGGAGATCATCACTGCATAACGTAAATATTGTATATATTGATGTGCAGAAAATAGATTGTTTCTTTTCACATATCATGAATGGCACTCAGTGCACAATTTTGGAGATTTGAGATAAAAGAGGAAAATTACTAATTGAAAAAAATGTAAGAAGCCATGGTTATGGCAGTTTGAGATAAAATGTTTATACAAAATTATTGAATAAGTGCAAGGGGTACATAAATGCCTTCATAATTTGACTGTATGTTGATTCTAAAATATGCCTAAAAATAATACCTTCAAATCAAACCATGGTTGTATATGATACTGATGTTGTGGAAAATGCCCCATTTACACTAGATAAATTCATCAGTGGTCATTCAGACCACCACAAAATGATTTGGCTATAATTACTCTTTGTGAGAAATAGAGCTTTCTACCATGAGAAAAATTCTACTCCGAGCCAAGGTCTTTAAACCAAAGACCTGAAAAAGATTAGGAGTTTTTGTCAAGACAGGATGTAAATTGATATTTCATTTCTATGTGTCAGTTTAAAGCACAAATTTTGCAAAATTTTTACTCCATGTTTCCTTCTCTATAAAATAACATTTCCTGATGCAGGCTTCCTATCAATTTCTATGATGATAAGAACTAAATGTAGTTTGGGGATCTTTCCTGATGGGTGGGTTCATACTGCCTCACACCAGGCATAAGCCAGGGAACAAACTGCAGATGCTAACCTACAGTGCTCGGCAGGTTTACCTTCAGTCGAAAGTCAAAATTATCCAGCTATGAAGCCAAATGAAACAGAGATTGTGAGCGGATCTTGTAACTGCCAGTTCAGAACACAAGTGAAAGGATGGTATTCATGGACTGCGGTGCTGGGAGGTACACATTGTTTAGTCCTCAACCACTGCAATAACAACAGCAACTTTTACTAAATGTTGGGGAAAACCACTTGGGACAGTCACCTCTTGACTGTCAAGAGCAGCAACAAGAGTGAGCAGCATCAACAGGAACCATCCAAGTCCAGAATTTATTCCAGCCTGTCTCCAGCCAGTTACATTGGTCAGATAGCAAGGAGCTGAATGAGAAAATCTTCCTCTTCATGGTCCATTTGCCAGGAGGAAAAAAGTGTGTTTCTTTTTACTGTCGTCAGAGAGACAATCACAGCAGGTTCAAGTACGCTCTTGGTTGATCAGGCAGAAATTACCAACCTTGCACCTTGAACTGTCAGCAATTCTTGTCTGAAAGGCACATATGTAAATGATTACTTTCATCATAATAATGCTTTACAAGGAGGCAGGATTCTCCTAAGGGTAGGATTGTCCTAAGTATCTGTAACTCTGCCATTCTCACTGTCAGATGGACATTGTGTTAGCCCATAGGTAGCTACACAAGCTCCTGGATAGTCTTACCATGTGAATCTGAACGTCATAACAGAAAGGCAGCAGAAACCGGAGGTGAAATTAGATCTTTCTGCTGAGAGACAACACAGCACAGATTTACTAGATAATACGGTTCCTTTTGTTAAGTCTTTATTCACACATATTTTTTCTCTTCAACCACGTTTCCTTTCCTTAGTTCTATTAAGATTTCCTTGAGGAAAATGCACCAGCTTTAAAAATATTTGTATGTGAATATCAGAGATAAAACATAAAAAACTATGTCTTAAACATGTATTTGTATATGCACAGAAACACTGTGGCCATCTCTGGTCAGTGAAGAAGAGAAAATGAGAGACGCAGTCTTTGTTCATTAGCATGCAGTACAGCCACAAGATGGCTTGGGAGTTTAGGGTGGAGGCACTAACAGAAACATTTTCATGGTTAAAAGTTCAATACAAGAAATGTGTGCTTATAGGGCAGGCAGTCTTTGCCAACCCAAAGGTCTGAATCACAGATATCAAGATCTCTTACTTTCTGTTTTCAAAGACTTTTAGTTTGATTAATACGTTAGTGCACACCTAGAGGTCTCTGACAGTCATGAACCTCCAGAGTTGTAGGTATAAACTTCTCCTTTTTGAGGTAAACAGGTAAGAACTAGTTATACAAGTTATATCTACACTTGAAAATTAAGCACATCTGGGATCATTCCTTGGCCTGGGACAGTGTGTGGTCTGACTCAGTTATCATCACTGAATTTACAACCTCTAAAGCCAGATCATTCCTTGGTCACAAATTATCATAGCTGAGCAGTTACAATTTGAATTTCCCCTTCAATGCAAATTGCCAAATAGGAACAGTTCTACATCTGTGCTGTTTCTCACACTATGTGCAGGAGCAGGTACTGGTTGGCATGGTCTGAAACCATGGCCAGTGACTCCTCTACTAACTGATTAAACTCAACTGCCTGAGTACATTCCCTACACTACTGAAGCTACTGGTTCAGATATAATCAAAGAGAGGGACATATATCACTTGATCAGTGATTGCAGTGATCTCATTTCCCACTAGGCCAAGCTGAAATATTTCTTTTCCTCAGCCTTCTGCACTGACTTCTTCCCTGCTGTTATGATTCGGTTATTAAAATTGTTAGAAATGCCTCTACCTGAATGAAGGTGCAAATGAGACCAAATGCCAAAGTCAATAATATGGGTTTTATTTAATGGTAAAGTGCGACAGAGAAAAGGAGATAGAAAGAATTAGAGAAAAGGAAGGGTGGGGGGGATAGAAGAAAGAAAGTGATAGAGAGAGTAAATAGAAAAGTACCACCACACCGTGTAACCTAGCAGCGTCTCGACAATCCAGTTCTTCTGATGTTTTTGGTGGTTAGGGTTTCCCAAAAAACATAGAGTAATGGATTAATATATGTTCAGGAGGTGCCCGGCAACACCCCTTGGCAGGGTGGGTGGTGGTGGAAACCTTGCAGTGTTTTGCAGCAGATTTATTGCCTCACTCGGATTATGTGCAGTCTTCTGGTGGTGGAAGGCCTCAGGAATGAATTAGGGGGGTACTTTGGAAGTCTTTGGTGGTTTATGACCCCTTCTCAACTGCCTCTCACGTGAATGTCCCATGTGTACATGGTCTTCTTGGGGGATGGGAGGGGAGGGTAGCAAGTTACTCCTTTGGTTTAGTGTGGAGAGATTTCACCATCACACACCCGAAACCCTTCTCCCCCACCATCTCCTGAGCCCAGCTAGGGCTGGTTCTTAACACAGATACATTCTTCATTCCTGAGCCTTGTTTATTTCTCCTCAGACTTGAGATGATTAGACAGTAGTCTATCTCAAGTCCCCAGTCACAGTCTAAATTCCACTCGAGAGGCACTGGGAGAAGGGGAGTACTTCAACAGTCACAGACAGACTGTGCTTCCTTGCAGTTTGACAAAAAGTCTTTCTATGATTTTGACAATGTTGAAGACATTACTGGCATTTCAGTCCATTACACCTGTCCACTTCTAGAATGTGCAAGGGAGGTTACCAAGACACCACAGATCTCATGTACAAGAAATTTCTCTGCAGTATCTTCTCTGTTTTTTGTGTCCTGGCCTTATAACCTCCTTTTTTCCTCTCCCCTCCTGTTGGTAGAAAATGAACCCACAAGGTCAGCCAAAAGACAGTCTACTAGAGCAATGTCATCTTCAACCAGAGCTGCACAACACCAACACACAGCACTGAGCAAGCTGCCAGGCAGGCTAGAGATGGGAATAGGAGTACAGGCTGAGCAAGGTAACCTGGGAATCCCAGAGACATATCTTTTGTGTGGGCTGAGCTCCCACTTCTTTCAGTTCTCTCTCAGTACCCAAGAAGATCTCTGTATAATGTTAAAAAAATTTCCTTTCTTCAGTCATCAGATGTAACAAGGATTTTGTTTTTCCTCTGTGCAAGGCTGTATTTTCATAACAGATTTTTACCATGATTTATTACTTCTGTGAGAACAATAAAAGTATCTTTTCTTACAGAAGGAAATATGCATGCATTTCTTGTAAAGTGGGCTTTTGTTTATGGCTGCTGTTTTCAAGCTCTCTAGTCACAAATACACTATTTTGGTAATTTCTTTTCCTCTGTATAACTAGGGATTATAATAGCTTTAGTTATCACATACAGTCATCAGAAAGAAAAAGCAAAAAGGAGCATTATCTGTCAACTCTTGACAAAATAAAATTATTGACTGCAAAAGAATTCCCAATAATTTCATTCTTTATCTCAATAATGCCAAATTTATCATGGTAATGTTCTACATCCTGCTTAAATAACAATGGATGATACAACCCATAAAATGGGAAAAGAAATATTACCAGTTACATAATATTAATTCAGACATAAAGACGCATAAATATGTCCTGGTATTCTACAGTTTCTCAAACCATTAGCTCTCTAATAAGGACTGTGCCTTTCTATGTTTCTCACACAGTGTAATGGCACACTGACAGTGATGGAGGCTTTCAGGCACTCCCAAAATGTAAATAAAATCATAATTAAAATGATGATGGTGATGCCTTTCACTTTTTGAGTAAATAGCTAAAATGAGGTCTATTCGTTACCTAACAAAGATAACAATATTTCACTTGACGTAATATTATATTTGATCAGTGCCCAGGATCTGTTTTTTACAGGTGGTAAAAAGAAAGTCTTTATTGCTTAAACAATATAAAATATCACAAATGCAACATAAGCATAAATTACAAGAGGAAGGGAGGTTAGGATAGCTCCTTGAATTAATAAAAAAAATTAAGGCATATACTTTCAAAGGTAGCTAGTGCCTCAGTATTCTTCAGAATTTTGGGATTAAACTGAAAGTCTTGTGACTCTGCTGTCAGCTGTAGTGACTACTTTTACTGAAATCACCAGGGTTGGTTTGTTCAGTACAGTCCAAAAGCCCTGGTTCAAATAATGCTCCTGCCAGACTATTTTAGTTCAAAGTAAGAGCTGGAAGAAGTAGGGCTAATGAGAATAAATAGTCTAATGGGAATCATAGAATGGTTTGGGTTGGAAGGAGCCTTTAAATGTCGTAGTCCAATGCCCCTACAATGGGCAGCAGCATCTTCAAACAAATCAGGTGGTTCAGAGCCTGACCTGGAATGTTTCCAGGGATGCGGCATTTAACACCTCTCTGGGTAACCTGTGCCAGTGTTTCATAACCCTCATGTAAAAACTCCTTCTTCACGTCCAGTCTGAATCAGCTGTCCTTCAATTTAAACTACTACCCCTTGTACTGTCGTAAAAGATCTTGTTTAAAAGTCTGTCCCCATTTTTCTTACAGATCCACTTCAGCTACTGGAAGGATGCTATAAGGTCTCCCCAGAGCCTCCTCTTCTCCACACTGAATAACCCTTGCTCTCTGCTTTTCCTCATAGGAGGGTTTTACCAGCCCAAAGAGAGGACAATCACCACTAGTGTCAACAAGAACCTAGACAAGCTCACTGCAGGTTGAAGATCTACCCACAAAGCAATTGGTGCAATGAGGACATACTGCTTTATACCATAGCATTGTACAAGAGAAAAATACTTGTAAGCACTACACCTTCCAAGCCCTGGGCTGCAATGCAAGTGTGTCTCATAATCAACTGGCTTTTCCATGGAAGTATACAGAATCTGAGGCAGAAACGTATTATACAACAAAGAACCTATATCAAAGACAAACTTTGATGGAGGAGTGAATTTGTTGATACATAACAAAAGAAAAAAGTCCAACTGAAACTTTCCCAGCACGGGATTTGCAACATCTCTTTCTGTTGTCAAATAAATTTAAGATCCTGCTGCATTCTTTCTCTCAGTATTAGAGTCTCTCAGAGAGTTTTTCACTTTGAACACCAAAATTTGTAGGAATTTAGTGTCTTTGAACCATACTATCCAGTTTGCTTGATATTAGCCACTGACTAAGGAGGCAGAGGTAGAGGAATAGCTGTGGAGGCAGTATAATCTCATACATTTTGTTACCATAGAAAATGAGGCTAACAATCATAATCTTTATGAAGTTGCTTTTTTTGAGTGTAGATAATTGCATTTTCCTGGTTTATGTATTTCCATCATTATTGCTTAATGCAAATCACTCTCTATCTACCCAGCATGATTTATTGCCAGGATGTTTAAAAGGGAAGAGTAAAAGCTGAATTGCTATGCAGTGGATAAAATATATTTCAAATAATTTTAAGTATATTGATTTTTACCTTTGAAATTGAAAAACATAATTTAGGAGGGCATGGCTATTAATTTGAATTTGGAAATAAGAAATATATCTCTTGATTTCCTACCCCTATAAACTAGATTATAACCATGAATTTTTGAGATGTATTGTTTTATGTGATGAATTCTTCACCAGCCATCTATTTAGGAAATCTTATGAAAGCCTCCCAACTAAGACTAACCTACAGATTTAATAGGGTAGTAAACTTTACAGGGCAAAAACATTAAAAAATTACAAGACAGTTATAATCTGACATTACTTTTCTGTAACACAGTTAACCACATAGCATCTGTCTTGGCAGCCTAGTTAACAATCCCCATTCATTTCATCAAACATAATAAAACTAAACATGCGAAAACGAAAGTAATTAATTAAAAATCTTATGCTTTATTTAAGTTGGAGGGGTTCTTAGTTTTCAGAATAGATTGATTTCCCACAAGTTCCAAGAACTGAAGGGAAAGAAAACAGTCATGTAAATTACCTAAAGGTGATTACTTTTGAGGGTTGATTAACATAAATTAAAAATAACAATATTAAGATAAAACATAAAGAGTTCCCTTTTCCTCAAATCATAAACATCTTTCAAAAGCAAATGGGGTGAAACCTACACTTAAACATATAACTACTCACAGTTAATAATGCTGGTCAAAGAGTTCAATGAAGATGTATATACATCTAGCCAAATTAGCTAACAATAAGGTCAAACACGGAAAATTCTCTTCTGTATTCTTGCTAAGAGAATGATGTAAAAGAGCTTTAAGCAAAGGGGCTTTTTTGTTTAAGCAAAGTAGTGAACAACAGTAGATCAGGTATTAAACTAATTTAGCCAAATACTCTTTTTCTCAGTAGTGCTTCCTACTACTGCTTCTTTCACAACATAAAGCTGTGTATTTGTGATACTTCAACACTTACTTTCCCTATCTAATTTCAGTGCTAATATCTCATGTTCCATGAAAGATATTTATCATTGATGACTTAGAAGTCTGAATTTATACTTATAGATATGAGTGAGGCAACAGGATTTCAAACTCATTGATACTATTATATACATCCAGTGGAGTGCAGGTCAGGCAAAAAGTCATTTCTCAGACGTTCGATCGAAAATTGGCAGTTAATTGGTTACTTTCACACTTTAAGATTTTCCAGAACAAAAAAATTGTTTCAAGATTCTGAGAGTTTTGGTGATTGTTGGGGTTTCATCTTTTTTTTCTTCAGCAGCATTTTGGTCAGCCCTAATGTATATTGTTTGTTTTGCTTATGACTGAGTTGGATATCTTGTTATAAGTGTGCAGTGATATATCTGTCCCTAATCTCGAACTGACAGGGTTGTCAGTCACCAAGTACTCTGCATTTGATCTGAGTTACAACAAAATACACATCCCTGAGCAAGACGTCTTGTATGTTCCTCTTTACTGGTTTTACCATTCTTCAGATTATTTGATCATTTATCGAAGTCAGGGTAATAAATGAAAATATGTCTGATTTCTCTATTTTTTTCTGTATACAGTAGATTCTTTTTAATTTAACTAGGTAATTTGGGATTTATATGCTTATTTTCTCCCTTCACTAATTTCACCTTATTAGAATGTGACCTTCTGGATGTCTCTGAGGCATACATCCATTTATCACTTGTACTGTGAAGAAAGTTCCAGCTTTCCATCCCTGCCTTTTGTTAATAGTCTCCAAGTTCATATGAAATTGCTGTCCAACATGTCAACGGCAAACTATCAAATGAGAAACTCTCTCACTGATTTTTGTGAGAATAAAGAAGACAATTACCTCTAATCTAGTCTGTCAAGTTTCTGCTTCAGAATATCTCTGGCCCCTTAGGATTTATAGTTTTCTATTAACGCTTTCAATCAACCAGACACATATCTTTCATTCCTAGAGTCTACAATGCATTGGACTTTAAAAAGGACACTGCAGGTTCAGTTCTAACTCATTCTTAACTTCAATAATAACCACATGCCAGCATCTCAAATACAATTAATATAATGGGGGAAGATGAGGCTATATTAATAACCTTTGTCTTAACTGCAGTCCAAAGATTCAGATTAAAAAGTGTAAACATTAAGAAATCGTAGCAGTAAGGACCCTCAGAAGAACTTACATTCCTCAAGTACAAAAAGAATTTTTGCTAATATTTACTTCTAAAGAATGACCTATAGTTGCAATGCTGAAATAGAGAGCACAGGTAGTTCTGGGAATGAAGAACGCTCACTACAGTTCAGGTCACTATCTTTCTCTACTTGAGTACATGCATGAGGAATAATTTCCTATGATATTGGATACAAAATAAAATGCAAAGTAATTACCTATTTTTACTGATTTGATCTTTAACTTAAGTTATGATGATAGGGCAGAGGTTTCTGGTCCTAAACTAAATTTATTTTACAAGAAGAATCTAGAGAAAGTAATGAGTTTGCCACCTATTCACTTTAAAGTTAATGCTGGAGTTAGACACACTGTGACTGAAAATACAAATTTGTAAAGTCTAATGAGACAAAATGTAAAATGCCCTGTAATTAGCAAGATTCAGGACATCACACAGACAAGTCAATTTAATTCTATTCTTAGAAATACTCTTTCATCTTCCTGCGAAATGATCAATCATAGCAACTAGGGCCAGACCAGGGCCATACTTAATTAAAGATCTATAGGAAAAAATCCTGAAATCCTGCAACACTAAAAAACTGGGAAAAATAAATGTCATCCCCAAGACATTGAATAATCCTGTTCATAGAAACTGCTAGAATTCATGGAAACAAGAAAATTTTTAGTAATTAAAACAGTATTAACACAAACAAAAAAAAATCAGGGAAGGAAATTCTGCAATAAAGAACATAATACCCTACCTTACAATATCTTTAGCAGCCATATATGTTACTTGCAGCAGTCTATTTTACTTTCTTCCCAAGCAACAGTATCTTAATCACGACACATTGCTATATACATTAATCAACTGCCAGTAAGATGGTAAATCAGCAAATAATGTGATCACTTCTTGCTATTCTGGCTCCATGCAGTCTTCATATTTAGTGTCATGAAGAGATAGTTGCTCACAGATTAAGTGGTTTAGCTTTATTGGCAGTGTTGATTCTCTCTAGAAGAGCTATCTTTTACGTAATCTTTCTACACACACTCCATTCCCCCGGTTCTAAAAAAAAAATAAATAAAAAAATAATTCTTAAGCTATGGCATCAATAGCTGCAATATATACTGGGAGAAAACCTACACGGACTTCAACATTTGGAGAAATCTACTTGCCTCACCACAAGAACTTTCCTTTATTACATTTTTTTGTGGTACAGACACTTCTAGAGTGTGCTCTACTTCTTCCTAAATGAATTCCTGTAGAATGAAGCCCTCATCCTAAAACAAAACACAAAAAAGTTTAGAGAACTGTGAGCTGAAGCATGGCTAGTGGACTACAAAGGAAACGTACAGCTACTTTATTTCTACTACCTTAGATGGAGAGGTTTAGGACTAGATCACAGGAAATTTCAGTGCCTGTTAAAGTTATGGAGAAGATTATTCTGGGAGGTATTGAAAATCAAAATGCAGTCATTGGTCACAGCCACCACATCACCAGGAGAGGAAAGCTCTGCTTATCCAACCTCATTTCCTTTTATGACAAAGTAACCCACCCCGTTGATCAAGGGAAGCCTGTTGATGTCATCTTTTTAGATTTCAGTAAAGCTTTTGATACTGTCTCTCACAGGATCCTTCTGGACAAAATACCCAGCACACAGCTGGATAAACACATCATGCAGTGGGTGAGCAATTGGCTCACAGGTCAAGCACAGAGGGCTATAGTGAATGGGGGAACATCAGACTGGTGACCTGAATCTAGTGGGGTTCCACAGGGCTCCATCTTGGGCCCTGTGTTCTTCAACATCTTCATAAATGATGTGGACACAGAACTGGAAGGGATACTAAACAAGTTTGCAGATGACACAAAACTGGGAGGAGCTGTTGACGCCCTCAAAGGCAGGGAGGCCCTGCAGAGAGACAAATTAGAGGACTGGGGAGTCACCAACCATAGGAAGTTCAACAAGGGAAAGTGTTGGATTCTGCACCCGGGATGGGGCAACCCTGGATGTTCATACAGACTGGGGAATGAGATACTGGAAAGCAGTGCCATGGAAAGGGACCTGGGAGTCTTGGTTGATGGCAAGTTAAACATGAGTCAGCAGTGCCCTGGCAGCCAGGAGGGACAACCGTGTCCTGGGGGGCATCAGGCAAAGCATCACTGCACTGGGGCGGCCTCACCTTGAGTATTGTGTGCAGTTTTGGGGACTGCAATATAGGAAAGATATTAAGTTACTAGACAGCATCCAAAGGAGAGCAATGAAAATGGTGAAGGGCCTTGAGAAGAAGCCATATGAGGAGTGGCTGAGGTCATTTGGTATGTTCAGCCTGAAGAAGAGGAAACTGAGGGGAGACCTAGCTGCAGTTACAACTTCCTTGTGAGGGGGAAAGAAGGGGCAGGACTCAAGGGAGTGGAGTTGTGTCAGGGGAGGTTTAGGCTGGATATCAGGAAAAGGTTCTTCACTCAGAGGGTGGTTGGGCACTGGAACAGGCTCAGTAGGGCAGTGGTCACAGCCCCAAGCCTGGTGGAGTTTGAGAAGCATTTGGATGATACTCTCAGGCACATGGTGCAACTCTTGGGGATGGTTCTGTGCAGGGCTAAGGGTTGGAGTCAATGATCCTTGTGGTCCCTTCCAACTCGGCATATTCTCTGATTCTGATTCTGTGAATCTCAACCCAGCTGTCACCAAAATGCTCACTCTCCAATAGGCTACCCAAATCAGAAAATATTTCTGCCTTCTCACTAACAAAAGAAGCTTATTTACCACTAGAAATTCTGCTTGAGGGAGGTTCCATTTCATCCCCAGGAACACCATGAGAGACCTTTCAAACACTGATAACTCTAGGCACACACTAGATTTGGATTTCATTTATCTGCATATTCATGGGTATGAACAGAAACAGACTCACCTCTTGCAAAATTAAGGTTCTTCTTGCATTAAGAAAACTCTTTGAAGAGGTATGACTTCAGCTGGATTCGAGTTATGCTCACACACAGAAAGCTCCTTATGCCCTTCTGCTGCTTTTCTTTTTAAGACTTATTCTGCTTTCAAAAATTCATGGTTTTTACTATGGTCAAGGTCCTTTTGAAGGTCTTCCTGTGTATTTATAATAGTAAAAGTATATCTTTCAAAGCCAATATGTCATTTCCCTCAGCACTCTGTCTTTCTGTGTTCTCTTCCCAGAATCTTCTTTCATTCAATAAACATGAAGCAGTTAGCAGACATTCTTTGTCACAAGCATTAGCAAAAGCAGGCCCAGGGAGTTAAAAAAGGAAAAGAGAAAAAACCAAACCAAACCAAACCAAAACGACAGAGTAAAATGCTTTAACTAGTTTCTGAAACATTCAAATCTATCAGAAGAATCAATTTACAGTTCTTCAGCACTTTGTGTCAGCAGTTCTAAGTATTTCATTCTGGAGAAATAACCAAAGCAGCAAGTACATTGGCAGCAAGGCACCTATATTCCAGGTACTACATGGCATCTCCAGTGTATGGGAGCTGCCATCTTTTCCTTCTCCAAGGTTCAATCTCTTCTAACATTCTATTCTGCAAATCACATTCTTAAAAGGCCATCTACACACTGACATATTCTCTTAAAAATAGTGGGAGAAATCCCATCTCTGTAGAAAAAAATGAATCTGCAGATTTTGTCTGAACCTGTGCAAAGTTGCCATTCTTATTACCCTAGTTTGGCAATGATTTTACATGAGTTATAGAGCACACAGAGTCAAAACACCCTAGTATCATTGTGGGTATTAGATGTAAGTTCATTTAAGCATAAAAGAGATTGGTAGAATCAGAAATTTAACAGAACTTTCCTATTTTAATAGAAGTTTTCTGGTATTTCTAGCTGTAGAATGGTCAACACAACATAGAAATAGAAAATCTACACTACTCCATGCACGTGTTAGGATCCTTCAGCATAAGTTTTACTTATTTTTTGGAAGGGACCAGAACAAGAGAGTACTCCATGCACTAATATTGTGAACTATTACCTCTTCTGGCATATTCCTCTACCTACCAGTGTCCTTCCCTCGTTTGTGTGCAGTAGTCAACACAAGCTTCCCTAGAAGGCACCAATAGCTTCCTTGTATCCCTTCAAGCCCAAGCTTTCTGCCACAGGAATAACAGACGACCGGGTTGCCACAGCTCATAACATGATATTGTGAACTAAGCCCAGGATTGAGAAGGGGTGGGGGAAACTGTACAGTGATGAGAGACAATATTACCAGTAAAACTGTACAGTTAAAACTGTTACCCTGATCAGTACATGTACAGGAAATAAGGAGAAAGATTTTTTATTTCTTAGATCCAGGATTTAGAGAGAGAGATATCATATATTTTATACAATTGAGAGATCACACAGTTTGTACACTATTACAAATAATTTGCTAATTTCTAAGAGCCAGACTTTTGATATACTAAAGGTTATCAACATTTCCACTAGCTTTCAAATCTACATTATGTGGGCAATATAATAATTTGCATATTGCTTTGGATGTAGATTAATTTCAGCATAAAGCCTGCCTTTTTGATCATACCACACTTAGAAGAGAATAAGGAGGGTTTTACTGATTACATATATGCACATGACTGCACTTGTATTTATAAACTCCTATCTCTTTCACAGGTTATCTGCAGAACTTGTTGGTGAGTAGAAACATAACAGCAGTTCTTTACTATATAAATAAAACTGCTATTGTTTTTATCTTCAAAACAGACAGTATAAATTATCCCAGCTCCCACATCTATTTAAATCCTATACATGAGAAATTAATAAAACTAACTGACAAAACTGTAGCAAATTTTTTAAAGTGTACTTTATGAGAATAGAAACAACCTTCTGTGAGTACCAGGGAAACACCACCATTAATGCCGATGTCCAAAGAAAAAAATTCATCACATTCACTATCTCAACTCCTACTGTGATCCGGGGTGATATTAAACAGAAGCAACTGTAGCTGTGAGCAATCATGTCTTTGACCAAAATGTGTCAATACTTGGCTGAAAGGGAATACAATGGAGAAAACTTTTTTTCTGCCTTTCTTCCTTTTTTTGCATATCCGGCCTGAGCTTTCACACAGAAGTCAGACAAGAGATAAGCATT